GAGAGAATTACCTTGCCATCTTCTTCCTTGTCTCTTCCTTCCTTTTCCTCTCCATCTTCCACTCTTCTTCCATCCTCCTCTTTCCTTTTCTAACCTTTCTCCTCATTCTCATCCACCTGTTTTTTCCATCGATATCCTTCTGCTTTTGTATCATGACTGTGAGCTCTTTTTCCTCATTTCGTCTGAGAACCTTCCTTCAAAATGAGGAAGGGAAAAGCATTTTTCTCCTAGAGAGAATTTTTCATTGCTTATTGTCTTCTCCAAGGCCATGCCAACAGAGAATGACTTTAAAGCCTGCTTACTTTTATGGTTAAGTCATGAAATAATGTGAATTCATTTGGAAATGAACTCACCTCCCATCTCCAACATAGTTCAGCGTCTCCCTCCCTCCAAAACTGTGAAGGAACAACTTGCTCTAGTTTTAAAGCACCAAGAGTTATAGCAGCTACATGTAAACTAATGCAATCACCAATATCATTTCAGAAAGTAAACGTTTTTCAAAAGACACACAAAGATCTCCATAGCAGTGCTCTCCAATATAACTTTCTGCAAAAATATCAGTGTTTCATAACTATGCAAAAATGCATCTTCAGAAGGCTTGAAATATAACTAAAGACAACCAACCAAGAGCCAATTTTTAAAAATTAACTTTTATTCACTTGAATTTCAATGAAAAAACTATGATCACTGGGTGCCATATTGGGAAATACACTTAAAAGAACTCACATCTATGTCCTAATAATTTGCTTTCTTACCTTTCATGACATTAAAAGAAACCCTATAGTATTTATTTTTAAAGCACATCTGTAATGTTTTTTTCTTGGTTTGGAAGGCATCAATTCAAATATTCTAGAAACTGTCTATACTTAATAATATGGCGATTCTTCATCTGCTGAACTATCCCAAACATATAGATTGAACTCTGTTTTATCTTTTTGTTGTTTCTTTTTGGTTTTGGTCATGGGGCTTGAACTCTGGTCCTGGGTGCTGTCCCTGAGCTCTTCAGCTCAAGGTGGGCCCTGTATCCACTTGAGCCACAGTGCCACTTCTGGTTTTCTGGTGGTTAATTGGAGATAAGAGTCTCACAGACTTTCCTTCTTGGGCTGGCTTTGAATCTTGATCCTCAGATCTCAGCTTCCTGAGTAGCTCAGATTATAGGCATGAGCCAGCGGCACCTGGCTTTTTGTCTTTTTTTAGTAAGTAAAAATATACTTATTTCTGAGACAAGATATGTATGTACATATACATGTTCATAATAAAAATAACATATTGCATATTTTTGCAGTAGACAACTTTTCCAAAGCCACTGGTTTAAACTTACCTCTTCTGAAATCCACTTTAGACTGGACCCTGAGATAACTATATTTTCTTGAACTTAACAATCTGTAGCCTCAATAGTCTTCTTTTATTTTTTCACTTAGAAAAGGAAGCGTATCTTGAAATGAAGCACAGGGATCAGGTCCATCCTCGTTCATATGGGTGCTGTGTGTTCTAGGTTCTCAGCAAGCAGATACTTGGCTTTCAATAACTCCTGGGGGAGAAAAAGCCATATTCTCTTCAGAAGCTCCTTGGAGGCTTGTCTGGGATCTTTCTGAAATCCACATGCCTAGAAACAATCTGGTTCTTACATTGGCGTGTTATAGCTCCTGTTCCTGCTTTGTGAAATGTCACAGAAATACCCTTTTTGTTTCCCATGTCTCTTTGTGGGGTTTTCCCCATGAGTGTGGTCATTTCAGAAGTTGGTACCTTATAAGGAGTTTGCTCTATTGCAAGTGGAAAAGTTCCAGGCTACTACTTGGAAGCTTTTACAACTTGTATTATTTGGTCATTTTGTATCATGGCTTGTGTTGAATAAGTATGAATTCCCATTTTCATGCATCTAAAGTCATGTAAAATAACTCTATTCCCTCTACATTTTTTATTCTCCTCAAGTTTACTTGAAATGAATCAGTGCTGTTATTCTTCAAAACTTCATGATGGGTCTTTAACTTAAGAACTTTGGAACACAGATGCTAACGTGCTCACACTACTCTGGATGGACTGCATGCAGTCAACAGGAAGTCTGAATTTGACCAGTTTTTTTAATATATATTTTTATTGTAAAGATAATGTACAGAGGGCTTACAAGTTTTTTGTTAACATTTATGACTTGTCTTCCACAAACACTGTTTTACAAATGTCCAGCAAAATGTATTGATTATAGTAGGAATCATTTATACCAGCAGATACTAAATTAGCTTATACCCCAAACCTTCGTGACATTGAGATTAGCACCTTGAGAAACCATGGTACAAGTGATTATACAAGTAACTAGTATATATGACTGCAATTTGGAGCATTAGTTAATAAGGCTTTGGTAAGGTTAGAGAGGTGGAAAATCAGTGCAAGGAAAACTGTAGGATGTATACTATAAAATGAGTGTCTTGGAACATCTGCTCTCCCTGTGAGAATATTATCTCCCAGGGGACAGTTTATGCCCATAGCTACATCCTGCTTAAGCAAGAGATACTGGTAAGTAAACCTGAATTCCTATTTTAGGGTCTTTGTAACAAACTTCCATAAACTGTGTGGCATGAAGGAGAAATTTAGTCTGTCATATTTTGGAGGGCAGAAATCCTAAATTGTGAGTAGAGTCCATTCACTTTAGA